ACGGACACCATATCCTGAAGTCGTCCCAGGGACACACCATCCACTTGTATTTCTTATTCAATGATGACATGTTGAAAACAAAATCACACACTACCCACAGCTGGATGTGGACTCATCACTGTACTTTCCAAAGATGCACTTAAGTGGCAGAACTGTGATGACACTGTAGGTCAGTCCCTATGAGAGGCAACACGGGGACAGGAGATTCAAAGCTAGGGATTATAACCCTACTTGGTGCAACTGCCCTGACTAACAAGGGTGGGAAATGTTTTCAAAACCCTAAGTTTTTTAAAAAAGGGAGAGTTCGTGGTGTGTCCAGTGGCAGACTTCCTAGTTGCTGGCAAAAAAGGGGGAGAGTAGTGACCTGTTATTCCCAGTGCTTGGGGAGCTACGACTCCCTGATACTCTGTGGCCAAACCTGAGGCCCGGTAAAAAGTGGCTGCAAATATTTGAGCACCAATATATGTATCAGGAACGTCCACTGTGGGCCCACATGCCAATGGACACTGTCCAGTTGGATTTCAATTGGCAGGACAACCTCAAGGCCAGAGACTATGTCATCCCAAGCAGAAAAGCACTTTCTCATTCTTCCTAAGGGTCCAATTAAAAAGGAACACAGAGACAGAAACAAACAGAAAGACACAGAGATAGACAGATATATAGATAGATGATGATAGATAGATAGATGATAGATAGATAGATAGATAGATAGATAGATAGATAGATAGAGATAGATACAGATTTACAGAGATACAGAGACAGGGAATGCCTGTGGATGAGTTTGCAAGCATAAGTGGTCTGGCTGCCTCACAGGCGTCAGTCCTCACAACACCCTATACCCTATTTCTAGAACATTCCAAACTGAGAGTGAACCGGGGTTAGAATGAATCTCTTCTGATGGCTGTCAATTCTTCAGGGCCCCCCAACTTCAGCCCCTGATCCTGGGGCCTCTTGGATCCCTTAGCAGGTTCAGGAAGCTGAGCAAGCAAAGATCCTGTTCCTGCAGCTTATTCTGTCCCCCCGTCCCACCCCCCCCCCACACACACATACACACACCACACCGATGGAGGGAGTGTGCACACTGGTCTTGGGCTCCTTTCAGCTGTAGTTGTTTTTATTTAAAATAATACTTTAATGTCTCCTGTTACATTTAGTGATTTTTAAAATGTTTCAGTAAATAGCACAAAACGTGACAGAACATTTTTCAGTGGGAAACTGGGATTTTGGAAAGGCCGCACAGGGCCAGGCACTGGCCTGAGTGACTTCCTGTCCCTCGAGGCTGCCGTCTCCCTGATCCTCACTGTTATTCTGTGAGGTCCCCACCTTTGACAATGAGGAAACTGAAGCTCAGGAAGACAGTCACTTAGCTGGGTTCACCTTGCTAGAAGCTAGTTCACACCTCACTTCAGAACCCCTATTCCCCAGCCACAGACACACACACACACCACACACACACACACAGAGGCACGCACACAAAGACACACACACACAAAGGCACCGATGCACAAACACATGCATATACTTGCCCATCTCCATGAGTGTTTATTTCCACTATATTTTAATCCAAAAAGCAGTGGAGAGAGCCAAAATATCTACGATCCCACAGAATAAGTACAAATCGATAAGAAAATTGGCAAAGGGAAAATAAACAAAAAAGATTACTCAATTCTGAAGTTAGCCCACAAGAATTCAAGCCATGAGTTGAGCTGCAAGAAGAAAGCCACAAACTGGGATGGGAGAAGACCTCTTCAGGCTAAGACTTAATGCTTCATCATGAGAATCCCCCTTTTTTTACCCCAATAAGAGAAGACCAACTAACACATTTCCGTATCTTCTTAATATGAAAAGAACTGACTGATGAAACACAGCAAAGGACTAAGTAAAGCAGCCAGTGCACAGACAACCACCCAGGCGCCCTCGGACAGCCCGGAACCACAATAACGACCAAACACCACCCGGCCTTGTTAGAAGTGACTCTGTGGGGACGTTTGTTTGCTTTCCAGTCTTTTCATTGTTTGCCAAGGAGAAGCTGTAAACTAGGAAGAAAGAGAAGTGTTGGTTGGACGTGTTCCAGCAGGGAACAAAGCCACCTCCTCACACTGAGTTCAAACGTGGGTGTGCTAGAGGCGCTGCCTTTACCCAGCAGGTCTGTCCGTCCCCACTCCCTCTGTGTGCCCACCTGGGGCAGTGCCAGAGGTAGAAACAACCCTAACAACTTTCTCTAATTAAACAAGGGAGACAAAGCCGTCCCTCAGCACGGCCCTACCCAAGCTCCAACGGAAAACACGTCTCTCCTCATCATTCCACCTGAGATTTCCAGGTTCATATTAACTCTCCAAACAAGACAGACAACGCCCGTGAAAAACAAGACGGGGAAGAAGAAGAAAAGAACATGTAATAACGAAAGATGACGGTTTCCCATTAAGTTCTCCACGCGAGCGCCTTAGCTTATAACATTTGCCCTTAAACACAAACAATTACAGAAAATGCCTCAGTTCAACCACAAACGCAGTCAGCGAGGACTCTGAGGCTGGAAGAGAACAGGGTCCACATTTCCATCACAGGCCTGCACTGCAATCAGATGAGAAGAGAACGAGAGGTCAAATTCAAAAGCCTGGCAAAGGCACAAGAGTGAGTCAGATACCATCCCGTGGACAACTGTCACACTCGGTAGCCAGACATGCTGAAAACCAGTCTCCCTGGCAGACGGCAATCAAATTAGAGCCCTCTGCTGCTCTCCCAGAGTAATGCTTTTTCCTTCTTAGTACTCATCTTGATTCCTACTTGTCCATTTGTCTGTCGGCTGTTTACCATTTCCTGACACCACTCTGCAAAGTTCACGAGGGAAGGGTCCAATCTCCTCTGTTTACTGATGTCACCCCAGCAATAGGTCACTCACTGGCCAATAGCAGGTGCCCAAGAAATACATTTTGTACTGTTGTTCATTCAATATATGTTAAATGACTGTGAGTCAATTTGTGCAAATAATCATGCATGTAACTGATGTAATCATCAAACATTAAATCCCTACAGCACACTATTATAACAGTAACAGTTTGCCAAAATGAAAAACCAAAATGTATGGAGGAACATAAAGACTTCCATACAATTTTTTGAAGACCTTCCACAAAGCAACTGAGAACATGGATGGCCCTTGGACCTTGGCTTAGATTAATTTTTCTCTTTAAGGGAAGACTGGGCTTCTCACTAGCTATTGGAAGTCAGTCTGTCTCTCCTAACTGCCACTGTGCCAAAGCCCTGTTGCCATGATGTGGTCGGTCAGGTCAAAGTGATGGTGCCTCGCTATGTCACAGATTCTTGTCTCCGGAGGCGCAGCAGATGCACCTCACTTCAATTCTAAGAAGCTAAGCTTACAAGGAAAGCCACACCAATACACAATATATGTTTGGGAGTTCTTCTAACAGCCATGCTATTTATTTATTTATGAGAGAGAGAGAGAGAGAGAGAGAGAGACAGACATCGATTTGTTGTTCCACTTATTTATGCATTCATTGGTTGATTCTTGTATGTGCCCTAACCGGGGATCAAACCCACAACCTTGGCATATTGGGACGACCCTCAGCCATGCTCTTCAATGCCATAGGCATGTGGCAATCAGGGGGTCATAAGCCTTACAACATGCACCTGCTTGCACCAAGCAAACTCCAAGCACATCAGAGATTTCATGGGCAACATTAGAGCTAAAACCATAGACATAGATTCCAGTGTCTTAGTCTTACATGGCACTAATATACAAACAGTCTGAACTTTCAACTATGCAGTATTTAGTGACATTATTAAAAGTGAAAGTTTTAATGGAAATAACCAATTTCCAGTTTGATGAATGAAAGCTGGTGTTCACTAATACTACTGAATTTAAAAACATACAAACAGAAAAGCAATTTTTAAATCATATTTCCCATTTATACTGGATTATATTTTAAAATGCATTCTAATAAATTTAGAACATGAGCCAAAAGTGAAATTGTATTAA